TCAGCCTCTGAAGTAGCTTGGATTACAGGCATGCACCACCACCATGCCCAGATAATTTTTGAATTTTTAGTAGAGACGGGGTTTCATCATGCTGGCCAGGCTGGTCTCCAACTCCTGAACTCAAGCAGTCTGCCCACCTTGGTCTCCCAAAGTTTTGGGAATACAGGCATAAGCCACTGCATCCAGCCACTAGCAAACCAAATCTAACAGCATATTAAAATGATTATACACCATGATGAAGTGGGATTTGTCCAAGAAATACAATGGTGGTTTAACACATGAAAATCAGTGTAATACGTCACATTAATAGAATGAAAAAATCCTCCTATGATCATGTCACTTGATGTAACTGTAAAACCCAACATGCTTTCATTAAAAACAAAACAAAACCAAACCCACCCAACAAACTAGCAATAAAAGGGAACAGCCTCAACATGATTAAGGGCACATGTGAAAAAGCACAACAAGCTCAATGGTGAAAGATTGAGAGCTGGTCCCTTTAGATCAGGAACAAGACAAAGATGCCTGCTCTCACCACTTCTGTTCAACATAGTACTGGAAGTCCTAGCCAGAGCAATCAGGAAGAAAAGAAACAGAAGCCATCCAAATTAAAAAAGAAGAAGTAAAACTATCTCTGTTCACAGATGACATGATCCTATATATAGAGAAATCCTAAAAGATCTACAAAAAAACAACTATTAGAGCTAATATACAAATTCAGCAAAGCTGCAGGATACAAGATCAACATACATAGCTCTATGGTACTGGCAATACTCCAATAAGGAAATTAAGAAAACAACTTAATTTACAGTAATATCTAAAATAATAAAATATTTTGGAATAAACTTAACTAAGGAGTTGCATGACTTTTACAATGAAAACTAGAAAACACTGTTGAAAGAAATTTAGAAGACCTTAATAAATGAAAAAACCACCTTGTTTTCCTAAGTTGGAGGATTTAATAAGATGATGGTACTCTCAAAGTGATTTATAGGTTCAATATATTCCCTGTCAAAATACCAACAGCCTTTTTCTGCAGAAATGGAAAAGCTGATTCTCAAATTCATATGGAACTTCAAGGGACACTGAATATGCAAAACAATCTTGAGAAAGGAGAACATGGAGGAGTCACACTTCTCAATTTCAAAGCTTACTATAAAGCTACAGAAATCAAAATAGTGTGGTATCAGCATAAGAATAGCTATATGGATCAATAGAATAAAATTGAGACTCAGGAAGTAAACTCTCACATTCATGGACAACTGATATTCAACAAGGGTGACAAGACCATCCAATGGAGAATGACCAGTTTTTTCAACATAGGTGCTAAAAGAACTAGAGTCACATGCAGAAGAATGAAGTTGAATCCTTATTTTACATCACATATAAAAGTTAACTCAAAATGAATTAAAGACCTAAATATAAAAGCTAAAATTATTAAACCCATAAAAGAAACCATAGAGGTAATATTCATGACCTTGGAATTGGAAATGATTTCTCAGATATGTTTCTAAAAACACAAGCAACCAAAGAAAAATAAATTGGACATAATCAAAATTAAACATTTTTGTGCATCAAAGGATACTGTCAAGAGAAAAAGATAACACACAGAATGAATGTTTATATCCAGAATAAATAAATATATCCAGAATATATATAGAATGAAAGTTGTAGTGTTTCCTCAGCAAAAATCACTCTTGGTGCATAGTTCTATGAGTTTTGACAAATATATGTAACAATGTAACCACCACTGTAGTCAAGATACAGAACAGCTCCATCACTAGAAAATGTTTCTCATGTTGCTTTGTAGTAAAGCCCTTCCCCAACCCCTCACACCAAATGACCGCTGATCTGTTCTCTATCCCTACAGTTTTGCCTTTTCCATAATGTCTTTGTGCTTTAGAGGATAATGCCATTTTTATAAATGGAATCATACAGTGTGTAACTAAAGAATGTATGTAGAATCGTGCAATATGTAGCTAAAGCCACTCTATTGTCCCTCATAATTAATAAATATTTATGGGAAAATAAATTTTAAAAAAGAATGAAAGCTGTAGTGTTTCCTACAATTCAACAAAAAGACAAACAATTAAATTTAAAAATAGGTAAATTCAAATATTGCATGTCCTCACTTATAAGTGGGAGCTAAACAAAGGGTCCTCATGGATATAAAGATGGAGAGAATAGACTTCAAAGGTGGAAGGACAGAAGGAAAGGGGAGAGGACAGAAAGGAAGTGAAAAATTACCTATTGGGTATAATGTTCAGTATTTGGGTATCGGGTACACTGGAAGCCAAATCCCCACCATTATGCAATGAACTCATGTAATAAACATGCACGTATACTTCCGAATCTAAAATAATTTTTTTGAAAAACAGGCAAAAAATTGAATAGATATTTCTCCAGAGCACATGAAAAAATATTCAATATCATTAGTCATTAGGGAAGTGCAAATCAGAACCACCTTGAGATACCACTTCATATCTACTAGGTTCGTGATAAAAAAAAATTGGATAACAAGTATTGGTGAGGATGTGGAGAAATTGGAACCTTTGTACAGTGTTGGTAAAAATGAAAACTGGTGCAGCTGCTATGGTAATCAGTTTGACAATTCCTCAAAAAGTTAAACATATAATTGTCATATAATCCAGAAATATCACTTCTAGGTAAAACCAAAAGAATGGAAAACAGGGACTCAAACAAATGCACACAAATATTCAACACAGCATAATTTACAGTAGCCAAAAGGTGGAAACAGTTGACAGCTAAACAAAATGTGGTATGTCCATACAATTGAATATTATTCAGCTATAAAGGGAATGAAATACTGATACCTGCTACGATGTGGATGAACCTTGAAAACACTGTGTTAAGTCAATGAAGCCAGTCACAAAATGTCATACGACTCCATCTATTTGAAAAATCCAGAACAGGTAAACCCGTAGAGGCAGATGATTGATGAGTAGTTACCAGGGGATGTAGGAAGGGAGAATGGGGAGTGACTGCTTATGAGAAGGAAGTTTTCTTTTGGGGTGATGAAATGTCTTGGAACAAGATAGAGGTGATGGCTGCCCAGCATTGTATTTGTCCTAAATGCCATTGTACACCTTAAAATGGTTAATGTCTAATTTTATGTTATTTGAATTTTATATCAAAAAAAGAGAAGGGATAAAGATTGTCTTAGACCAACAAAAACTACGAGAATTCATTGCCAGCAGACCAACACTACAAAAAAAAAATCCTAAGGGAAGTTCTTTAGGTAAAGGAGTATGATACCAGCTAGCAAGTTGGATATACATTAAAAAATAAAAAGTGCTGGAAATGGAATAAAAGTAAGCATAAAAAATATGGTTGCCTTTTAAATGCTTGAAAAGATAACTATTTAAAATAGGCATTGAAAATTTTTTTCCTGTCAAGGACCAAATAGTAAATATTTTAGGTTTTGTGGCCATACGGTCTTTGGGGCAATTGCTTAATTCTGCCATTGCAGTGCAAAAACAGCCATAGCCAATACATAAACTATTAAGTGTGCTATATTTACAAAAACAGGAGGCAGGCCACGTTTGGTCCACAGGCTATAGTTTGCCAATCTCTGATTTAAAGCAAAAGTAGTAGCAATGTATTGGATATTTATAGCAGATTAAAAGTGAAATATATTGTTGTCATACGTTTCACTTTTACATATGCATTTATAGCAATCTTCACAGGGGATACATTCCAGTAACCTTGGTGTATGCCTGAAACTGCAGATAGTACTAAACCCTGTATATGCTATGTTTTTTCCTATACCTACTGTATTAGACAGTTCTCTTACTGCTAATAAGGACATACCCTAGACTGGGTAATTTCTAAAGGAAAGGAGGTTTAATTGACTCACAGTTCAGCATGGCTGAGGAGGCCTCAGAATCATAGCGGAAGGCAAAGGAGGAGCAGAGTCGCATCTTACTTGGTGGCACGCAAAACAGTAAAGGCAAGGGAACTCCCGTTTATAAAACCATCAGATCTCGTGAGACTTAATTACTACCACGAGAACAGTATGGGGAAAACTGCCCCCATGATTCAATTGTCTCCACCTGGCCCCACCCTTGACATGTGGGGATTATTACAATTTAAGGTGAGAATTGGGTGGGGACACAGCCAAACCATATCACCTACATACCTATGATAAAGTTTATCAATTAGACAAAGTAAGAGATTAACAATAATAACTAATAATACAATAAGACAATTATAACACTTTACTGTGATAAAAGCCATGTGAATGTAGTCTCTCTCTCTCAAAGTACCTTCATATTTTTGAACATGGATTGATCACAAGTAACTGAAATTGCCAATAAGGGAGAACTACTGCACTATGAAAAACGGGAAGAAAGGGTGTGCAGTCTACTCTTGTCAGGTCCTCATGCTATCCTTATTTTTCTTGTTTGTTTTTTGGATGGAGTCTCACTCTGTCACCCAGGCTGGAGTACAGTGGCGTGATCTCGGCTCACTGCAAACTCCACCTTCCAGGTTCAAGTGATTCTCCCGTATCAGCCTCCCGAGTAGCTGGGATTACAGGCACCTGCTACCGCGTCTGGCTAATTTTTGTATTTTTAGTAGAGACAGGGTTTCACCATGTTGGCCAAGCTGGTCTCGAACCCCGAACTTCAGGTCATCTGCCTGCCTCGGCCTTCCGAAGTGCTGGGATTACAGATGTGAGCCACGGCACCGGCCCTCATGCTGTATTTAAAGTAACGTTTTATCATTTAAAGGTAGACTTTGATTAATTTAAGATACAAGTTGTAAACCTAGGACACTCCCTAAAATTTTTTCTCTCTTTTTAATCACTCAAAAATTTTTGAAGAGGTATAAATTATAAGCTAATAGTGGAAATGAAATGGAGACATAATACATACTCAATCCAAAGGAAGACAAAGATGGAAAGAAAGAAGACCAGAAAGAATGAATAGAAAACATCTAACAAGATGGTAGAAGGATTTTGAATGTTCTCACCATAAGAAATGATAAGTGTTGAGGACGCGAGGGCTTCAAGGTTACTTCGCGGAGCTGGAGCGCTGGCCGCGCAGGCCCTGAGGGCTTGCGGCCCCAGTGGCGTGGCCGCGGTGCGCTCCATGGCATCTGGAGGTGGTGTTCCCACCGATGACGAGCAGGCGACTGGGTTGGAGAGGGAGGTCATGCTGGCTGCAAGGAAGGGACTGGACCCATACAATATACTGCCCCCAAAGGGAGCTTCAGGCACCAAGGAAGACCCTAATTTAGTTCCCTCCGTCACCAACAAGAGAATAGTGGGCTGCATCTGTGAAGAGGACAATACCAGCGTCGTCTGGTTTTGGCTGCATGAAGGCGAGGCCCAGCGATGCCCCCGCTGTGGAGCCCATTACAAGCTGGTGCCCCACCGGCTGGCACACTGAGCGCCTGTACTAAGTTACTCAAAATGTGCTGTAAAGTTTCTTCTTTCCAGTAAAGACTAGCTGTTGCATTGGCAAAAAAAAAAAAAAAAAAAGAAATGATAAGTGTTTAAGGCAATAGACATGCTAATTACCCTGATGTGATCATTACACAATATATATATGTATCAAAACATCATACTGTACTCCATAAACATGTACAATTATTGAGGCTGGGCGCAGTGGCTCATGCCTGCAATCCCAGCACTTTGGGAGGCCGAGGTGGGCAGATCCCCTGAGGTCAGGAGTTCGAGACTAGTCTGACCAAAATGGCAAAACCCTGTCTCCACTAAAAATACAAAATTAGCTGGGTGTGGTGGCAGGTGCCTGTAATCCCAGCTATTTGGGAGGCTGAGGCAGGAGAATTGCTTAAACCTGGGAGGCAGAGGTTGCAGTGAGCCAAGATCAAGCCATTGCACTCCAGCCTGGGCAACAAGAGTGAAACTCCGTCTCAAAAAAAAAAAAAAAAAAAAAAAAAGTACAATTATTATGTGTCAATCAAAAATAAAACTTGAAGAAACCTGGAGTAGCTGTGTAGCTGTATTAATGTCAGACAAAATAGACTTCAGAACAAGAAATATTTCTGGGCATAATGAGGGACATTACATAGTGAAGACAGAATCAATTTTACAAGAAGACATAACAATCCTGGGTGTATATACACCTTAGAACAGAGCTTCAAACTACATGAAACAAAACGGATAGACCCAAAAGGACAGATATAAAAGTCTCTTGTAACACTCCTCTCCCAGCTGTAGGTGGTACAAGTAGGGAGAAAATCAGTAAAGATATAGAAAACCTGAATAAAATCATAAACCATTGACCTAATTGATTTTTATCCACCTAACAACAGCAGAATACACATTCATCTCAAGGGCATATAGAACATTCACCAAGACAGACCATATTCTATCACTTAAAACACATCTTTAAAAGTTTAAATAATTAAGTTATGCAAAGTATTTCTTGCATCACAACAGAATCAAACTTGAAATTATTAACAAAAAGGTATCTAGGAAATTGAAAATATTTGGAAATTGAACAACACACTTATAAACAACCCATGAGTCAAAGAAGAAATCACATGAGAAATTAGAAAATATTTTGAATTGAATAAGAAAACAATGGTCTAAAGCTGCCACCTTAAGAAACTAGAAAAAGAAGAACAAATTAAATCCAAATTGACCATAGGAAGGAAATAAAGACACGAGCAGAAATCAAAATCCACAAAAAAAGAGTTAGGGAAAATTAACAAAACCAAAAGCTTTTTCACTGGAAAAAAATTAACAACATTTACCAAGAGAAAAAAAAAAGCAAGAAAAACACAAATTGCAAATATCAAGAATGGAAAGTGGACATCAATAGCAACCCTACCAACACTAAAAGAATAATAAGGGAATACTATGAACTACTCTATGCCAACAAATTCACTAAGTTGCATAAAATGGACAAATTATTTAAACGTACAAACTGCTAAAACTCTCTTAAGAATAATAGATAACATGAACAGTTCTGTATCTATTTTTAAAAACTAAACTTGCAGTTAAAAACCTTCTAACCAAAATCAAACAAAAAAACTCTTCAGGTTCAAGCGGTTTTACTGGCAAATTCTTCCAAATAATTAAGAAATAAATAATACTGACCTGGCCCAGTGGCTCACGCCTGTAATCCCAGCACTCTGGGAGGCCGAGGCGGGCAGATCACATGAGGTCAGAAGTTTGAGATCAGCCTGGCCAACATGGTGAAACCCTGTCTCTACTAAAAATACAAAAATTAGCCAGGCCTGGTGGCAGGTGCCTGTAATCCCAGCTACTTTGGGAGGCTGAAGTTGGAGAGTTGCTTGAACCCAGGAGGCAGAGGTTGCAGTGAGCTGAGATCGTGCCATTGCACTCCAGCCTGGGCAACAAGAGCAAGACTCCATAAAAAAAAAAAAGAAAGAAAGAAAGAGAGAGAGAGAGAGAGAGAAAGAAAGCCAATTCTACAAAAACGCTTTAAGAGTATAGCATAGGAGAGATCACTTTTTAATTCCTTGTATGATACCAGCAGTATCCCAATATCATGACCACACACAGACATTGCAAGAAAATAAAATTATAGACCAATATCCCTTATGAAAATAGATGCAAAAATTTTGAAGAAAATCTTAGCAAATCAAATCCAAGTATATATAAAAAGGATAATGCATCAGGTCCAAGTGGTATTTATTACAGGAATTAAAGGTTGAAATGTTCAACATTCAAAAATCAAGCAATATAATTTACCATATCAAGATTTTAAAAATCACTAGGCTTCTTAATAGCTGCAGAAAAATGCTTTGACAAAATTCAATGTTCATTTCTAAAGGGAATTTCCTCAATATGGTAAAGGGCATCTGTAAAAACCCTACCACAAATATTAAACTTAGCGGTGAAAGATTGCATATTTTCCCTCTAAGATGAGAAACAAGGCAAGGATGTCTGTTCAGCATTATACTGAACGATTCAACAGTGTACTGGAGATCCTAGACACTGTAGTAAGGCAAGAAAAAGAAATAGACCAGGTGTAGTGACTCACAATGTAAGCTCAGCACTTTGGGAGGCCAAGGTAGGAGGATCACCTGAGCCCAGGAGTTTGAGACCAGCCTGGGCAACATAGGCAGACCCTGTCTCTACAAAAAAATTTTAAAATAACCTAGCGTGGTGGTGCACACCTATAGTCCTAGCTACTTGGAAGGCTGATCACTTGAGCTCAGGAGGTCCAGCCTGCAGTGAGCAGGGACTATGCAATTGCACTCTAGCTTGGGTAACAAAGTGACACTCTGTCTCAAAAAAAGAAAGGGAGGGAAGAAAGGAAAGAAGGAAGGAAGGAAGGAAGGAAGGAAAGGAAGGAAGGAAGAAAGGAAGGAAGGGAAAGAGAAGGAAAGAAGGAAAAAAAGAGAAAGAAAGAAAAAGAAAGAAAGGAAGGAAGGAAAGAAAGAAAGAGAAAGAAAGAAAGAAAAAGAAAGAAAGAAAGAAAAAAGAAAGAAAGAAAGAAAAGAAAGAAAGAAAGAAAAGAAAGAAAGAAAGAAAGAAAGAAAGGAAGAAAGAAAGAAAGAAAAGAGAAGAAAATAAAGAGTTCAAAACAAGAAACACAACATAACGGTCTCTATTTGGAGATAAAATGATTGTCTTCATAGAAAATGCACAAAAATTACTAGAACTGTAAGTAAACTTAGCAAGATCACAGAATACAAGGTCAATATCAAAAATCAAATTAAAAGTGAAATTTAGTTTTTACAAATACTATTTACAATAGCACTGAAAAAAACACAAAATACTTAGGTATAAATCTTACTAAATACGTGCAAGATCTGCATACTGTGTACAAAATACTGAGGAAAGAAAATGAATGAGACCTAAATAAATGGTGAGATATACCATGTTTATGGGTTTGAAGATTCAATATTTTTAAGCATGCTGGTTCTTCTCCAGGTTAATCTACACATTCAACAAAGTGCCAATCAAAATCTCTGCAGGAATTTTTGTATAAATTGACAAGCTGATTCTAAGATTTATATGGAAGCATAAAGGAATTAGATTAGCCAAAATAGTTTAGGAAAAAAACAAAGTTGAAGCCCTTGTACTACCTAGTTGACAGACTATAAAGCTATAATATAGTACTGGTGAAAGGATAGACATGTACATCAATGAAACAGAATAGAGTCTAGAAATAGAACTGCACATATGTGGCCAATTGATTTTTGACAAAGTTGCAAAAGTAATTAAACGAATAAAGAATAGGCGTTCCAAAATGTGGTACTGGAACAACTGGCTATCCACATGCAACGAGAAAAAACAAAAAATCAAACAAACATAGAAACCTTTGATCTATAACTTAAGCCTTATACAAAATTATCTCAAAATGGATCAAAGACCTAAATGCAAAACCATACAACTATTACAAGAAATAGAGAAAATCTTCGTGACCTTGAGGGTTATGGAAAGATTTCTTAAACACAACGCTTAAAAAGATCCATATAATCCATAAAAGAAAAAAAAAATTAGGCTGTCTGAGTGCAGGGGTGTTTACAACAAATTGATCACAACCAGTTACAGGTTTCTTTGTTCCTTCTCCACGCCCACTGTTTCACTTGGCTTACCTTAAAAAGTAAATCTATAAATTGGACTTCATCAACATTCAAAACTTCTACTCTTTTAAAGAGATGGTTAAAAGACAAACTACAGATCAAGAGAGAATATTTGATATCGCATATCTTATAAAGGACTTTTATCAAGAGTACATAAAGAATTTTCAATACTCAATATGAAAATAAATGATTCAGTAAAAACGAGGAAAACATTGAACAATAATATATATAACTGATAAGATAATTTGCCATATAAGAGATGCTCAACATCAATATTTGTTAGGAAAATACAAACTAAAAACCACAATGAAATACCACTACATACTTAATTAAATGGCTAAAACCAAAAATCAGAAAACCTGACAGTTTCAAGTCCTGGTAAGGATGAGAATACAAACAACTTTTTGTGTGTGTGTGACAGTCTCTCTCTTGTCGCCCAGGCTGTAGTGCAGTGGGATGATCTCAGCTCACTGCAACCTCCACCTGCCAGGTTCAAGCAATTCTCCTGCCTCAGCCTCCCAAGTAGCTGGGACTGAGGCGCCTGCCACCACACCCTGCTAAATTTTGTTTGTATTTTAGGAGAGATGGGGTTTTGCCATGTTGGCCAAGCTGGTCTCAAACTCCTGACCTCAGATGATCCACCCGCCTCGGCCTCCCAAAGTGCTAGGATTACAGGCATGAGCCACCGTGCCTGGCCACTTACAACTATTAATAGAACTCTCATATACGTATTGCTAGTTGGGATGCAAAAGAGCAGCCACTTTGGAAATCAGTCTGGCAGTATCTTATAGAGTTAAAAAGGAAATCCTTACCATAATTCAGTAAAATGGAAATTGATGTTCCCAAAAAACCCACTAAGCAAATGTTTCTAGTGGATTTATTTGTAATCAGCTCAAACTGAAATCAACTCAAATGTCCCTTAGCTG